AAAAAAAAAATCTAAATTCAAACAATTATTTATGAGTGAATTACATTTTGCCTTGTCTAAAAATCTCTAAAATAAATTTTTTCATAAAATAAATAAATTTAAATTTAACTGGAGTTATGAAATGGCCCACTTTAACTAATCGTACTGTTAAATACAACATATTTACCGTAATCATTTACTTTTTTACAGGTACATTATGGGCTCATTATTGGAGGGTGACAAGTGGATGCCCCGTTGGATCACTGTCTTAGTGTTTTGGGTGGGTTATTTCAATTCAGCGTTAAATCCACTGATCTACGCGTATTTCAACAGAGAATTCCGCGTAGCGTTCCAAAAAACATTGCAAAGCTGCTGGCCCCGATCGCCACCCTGGTGCCCCCCGTGCTTGCGACGTCGTTACGACCAGACCCGCATTGACACAACAACTCCTACTACCTTCGGTCAACATGTGTGCTACAGTAATGTATCCGAAATACAATACATGAATCCGACTATCATTGGAATGATGGAAATCGACAACGGTCAAATAGATCAGAATGTCTTATAAGTTATAATTATAATAGTAAATTGTAAAATATATTTATATGTATTCAGGGTAAATAAGATAATAATCATATAATTTTATTCCGACGTGATTAGGTAACAATATTAAGGAAGTTTATCCATATTTACGCATATTAAAAATTGAATTAACATTAAATCAAATAAATCGATTGGTTAAGCTCTTTATTTCACAAATTACGAATATATCAATTTTTTATCAAAAAAAAATTTTTTTTTTATTTTAAATAAGATTAAAACTGAATTCTGTTTTTATTGCTGTCCAAGTTGTTTCACTAAAAATATAAAGCTGAAAGTTACACAGAGTGTTCAGTAAATAAGGAAACAGGTAAAATGTTAAAAACAATGAGAACAATAGAAACCCGTTTTCTTACTTACTGAACACTTTATATATAATTTACATCTTTCAAATTTCACTTCGATTATATTTAAAAATATTCACGAGTACAGTAACGTACCTAGTGGGCTAAGAAGACGTTAGTCCTTCCTACTTGAAACGTTATGAATAAAATATAAACTAAGTGAATCTACAATATGCTATGCACAATGCTAATAAAATAAACATAGCCCGATTTCCTCCATCCTATTTAAAAATCCTTGGTACGCAAATATAGGAGTATCTCAGTTGACGGTTAAATTTTAGTTAGTTAAAAAGTAAGACTATAAGCACTCAGCTATATATGTAGAAAACATATAAAAAGATTGTAATAGTTTTATATGAATAGTTTTATTATTAAGTGTTTTATAAGGTGTTCAGTAAGTAAAGAAACGGATTTTTATTGTTCTCATTGTAATAACTGGCCCGTTTCCTTACTTACTGAACATTATGTATAAATATTGACTTAAATACTAGTATAATCGCAACACCAAAAATGAACAACTACTGACAAAGAACTGTAATAGATGTCTTCAAGATTTAGCGTAGGTATTGATATAGCTTATAATTTCTCCAACCACCACGTACATATTTCTATTGTTCTCGTTTGTAAAAATTGATCTGTTTCCTTATTTTTTTAACACTCTGTATAATAAATGAAGCCTATTTCTCATAAGCCACAACTTTTAATTTGAGATGTTTGATTTATAACATGATCAGGTAATATATTATTTACACTACAAGAAAAATAAAAATAATAATGATGCACATACACGAGCTAATGTTAAAGTACAAAATTAATTTTAATTAATTAATTGAATTTATTTAATTAAATGTACAAAAGCATCAATTTATTTTATAATGCTATGTATTGTAAGAGGTAACGAAGTCTATAATAAATTTTAATTATAGCAATAATTTATAGTAGAGTTAGATCAACTATAGCAATGATTTTATAAAAATGATTAGTATTAATTATACTAATTCTATGCTTACCAATAAACTCGATAATATTAAGATTTTTTTATAAATTTATAAGTACAACATTAGTCTTTTAATTTTAATGAGCATTGTTCCTAAAATTTTGATCTAAGTCATTGTAAATTGTTAAATTGTAAATATATTTATATAATATTTTTAGAACCCTTTATAAATTACCGTCCAAGTGCACATTAAATATATACTAATTGTTTTTTATTGTAAATAAAGGAAAAGCTTGTATACCAACTAAACTTACACATGATATAATTTTAATACCAGAGATGGTATTTGAGGTGTATTTGTCCTACCGTATTAGAAAAAATTTCGACCTACATCGTTACGTTTATCGGCCTAAATAATTTTTTCAAGAACTTTTTTTTCTCATAAATTCAGTTATTTGAGACTAATTTAATCATTTAGAACATTAGGATGTTCTAATGTTATAAACCCGTACTTTTTTTAATTATAAAAAGTAAGCTCCTTGATCAATATGCTTAAATTTTTCTAGCCCTTCTAAACATTTTACCAATTAACTATCTATGGATTCATGTTAAATATTCGTATTTAACTGTTTAATGTACAATTTAATAAAATAATTGTGGTCGCGGCACCTTCTTAATACTCGGGCGCTTTTTGGTCGTAGGCACAATGTTTTCGAAATACTGTGCTGTAGTACAGTAGCCAATGGGCTAGTACGCCCTTGATTGCAATTGTTTATCAATAAAACTATTACTCACCTAAGTTTTAACTGAGTACCTAATAATTGTATCTTATTTATACGAACAGATATATTTAAAGTTATAAATAATTGTAACATACATGTAAAAAATAATAATTAAAAATCTATAAGTGTTTAATTTATTTTCAAAATATATTGTGTTTGTGTGCTATATTTTCCGATTGTATTCCTGTAATTCAACTAATGTTGAATATATATAGTTTAAAAAATGTTTGTTAATATTTAATAAGTTGATTTCTTTTAACTTGTCGTTAAAAATAAAAGGAGTAAATAAAAAATTATTGATTATTTTATCACTTAACTGAACCAACTAGTTGTATTTAACGACTGTAAAATAAGTAACTAAAGGTTTTTTTTACTCAAATAACTTTATAAAATTTACATCTATACAAAATTAACTAAAGGTAACCAAAAATTATAACTACGATAAAAAAATAACTATTGTGCAAAATCTATATTATTTAAAATTATATCTTATTTTTAAGATATAATTTATATTATACTTATATTTAATAAATTTCAAAATGTTGTTTAAAAACCCAAAACAAACCTACCTTCTTTAACATTTTCACGTGTTTCAAATGGTCATTTAATAAAATCTATTAGACATTTATGGATCATACTTTTCCTCAAACACATACATATACAAATATTAACCTTCGAGATACTAGTTTTAAAATTTTTATCAATGCCTGGTTTTCTTAATTAGCTTATTTTCTAATTTATATACTATTTTCATTATCTTTAATTATAAGAACAAATTATGCTTATAGTAATCTTTCGATTACTATTTGAATTAAGTTTAAATTCGAAATAATAATAAATACTCCAGTATATTATATTATCTCAAATTAACAAACATATATGTAATAACTATTTTTTTTATTTTATCAATGGAATTTAAATCTTCTTCAACATTTTCATCTGGTAATGAAGGAGTTAAATTTTCCGTTGAATTACTATTAATTTCTGAAAATATAAATAAATGATCGTTTAACAGGTGCACATAAAAACAAACAACAAAAAAAAAACAAATTTTTTAATAGCTAGCCTTTTTTTATGGCTTCACAAAACAAATATGAAATTCAAGAAATACTCTGCCATAACTATAATGTTGTTTGATTTTGTATTATTTAGCGCTTTAATATGCAACGACATAGAGTAAAAAGTGTAATATACTACTTTATTTAAGATTTTTACCACATTGACATTTAATAAAATTGTTCATATGTTTTTAAAATATGATGTGGTTTTGTGTTTCCCTCAGCTGCACGTTATTAACCTATATGAAAGTGTATTATGATCTGAATCATAAGTGCACGATGGCCTAGTAGTAAGATCAGTCTCTACAACGCCTTGGATCGCGCGGGTTCGAATTCCGTACCATCCCTTTTTTTTCGGTACATTATCTAAGAACGGACGTTAATCCCCGGCGGCCGTTTTGAACGTTATTTTGACATTTTTTCAAACAATGTTTTCAAAACAATTCCTTTCTACAAGAGTTGATATGCATTATCCAATTTAATAATTAAATTAACACAGTTGTGTAAAAAATATGTTGAAAAATTTGATTGTAGTTATTTGTTAAGGTAATTAAATAAAATTACATTAACTAATAAACTATGTAGTACAATTATTAACACATGTACTAAATATCACATATATATGAATAAAGCAATAAATCATCTAAGGAATGTTTCCCTTTTAGGGTAATAAAAATGACTATTTATCAACACATGTTTCAAACCAGTCCCCTAAAATTCATTAACTACGCCCACGGTAGGGTTTCTATCACAATTAACCAATCACAAATAATTATCCAACATCTTAGGAATTTCAATAGAGATCGCTGGCTTACTTCATCCGGCGTATAAAAAGCCATTTTTTCTCGTAAAAAGGGACGATTTTCTGCGGCTGAGACTGGGACTGCGATGACGGCTACGACGACTACCCTCTAAATATTCTCTTACATGGAATCTGCGCCAGTATAAGTAAATATTTTGTCCCTGTGACTTAGTTTTTTTTTTTACATGTATCATCCTAAGTGGTGAACATTGTCTTGGATGATTAATTAATATTTTACACAGGAACAAGTTTTTATTTATTTTTATTATCACCTAATGTTCTCACGACAAATAGACATTATCTTTATTTTTATATAAAGGTTTTAAATATTATTGTGCCCTTCATTTCTGGACAGCCTCAAATGAGCCGAAAAGAGTGAAGAAGCGTAATTTTATTTATACAGGCATAATAGCCTTATACATTATCGTATATTCATAATAAAGCTTATTATGCCCTACATTTATGGACAGCCTTAAATGTGCCGAACTAAATAGAGAAGCATAATTTGTGATTAGAATTAATTAGTTTTAGTAGTAGTACTTTAAACCTGTGTACCCGCCAGCCCTAAGGGACTATGCCAATTACCTTTCGGTAACGTGTAGGCAGTTGAGGTACAGAGTAGTACTAAACTTATAAAAAGAGTATTTTTGAAGTGCGCTATATCCGTCGACAAGCTAGTTCTAGAGCTAATAGTCCGGGTAAAGTTCATCATAAAATATATAGTCCGTAAGATAGGAAACTACACCTTGGAAATATTCTCTGCGTGTGTACCCGCCAGCCATAAAGGACTATACCAGTTACCTTTCGGTAACGTGTAGGCAGTTGACGTAAAGGATAGTAAAAGGTGTATTGAAATAATATTTAAAATATATTAACGAGGTAACTGTGTCCGCGCCAGCCAAGGCTTTGCGCTGAGAAACGCTGGGCCACCACAGTCTTGTTAATTATATTTTGAACATAGATAGACATATTCTTATAATTATATTTTGACTAGTTCAGAGTGAATTTTAAGAATATCGATATCGACTGTAGGGAATTCATCGAAAATATTATTAGTAAAAACATAGTATAATATAAAAGGAATTTAAAGAAAACAAAAAAAAGGTGACAAATTATAATATACGCATGTCCCATTGTAGAGAATCCCTTTTTTTTTCTAAGTCTTATATACACAGAGATATTAATTAATCGAAATAAACGCAAGACAGTATAAACGACTGTTAACACTGAAGGAAGAAATCACCATAAAACCAACTCAGTCAATTACTAATGGAAATAAAGGTAAGTGCGAATATTTATTTGCATGTCTTACTTCTAAAAAAAATCACGTAATAAACAAGAATAGGAATAAATGAGGTAGGGATATTTTATTATTTAATAAATAAATATAGTTCGACCCCGAGATACCTCCCTCATTCTTTTCCTCCCACTTTCTATCCCTCATTCTTTCTATTTTTTTTTGTTTATTACAACTAAGGAACATATTTATAAAATTTTAATTTTATAAGTACTATTAATTGTTTCAGAATTATAAAAATTTTACAAGTAACGCTCAACATTTTAAAAGATTTTGTTACATTAATGACATAATAAATAATACTAAATTAAAAATATGATGATCTAAAGGATACAGAATCTCAATAAGTTAAATTTCTATTGCAAACTCCAGTATTAGTATGCCATAATTTTATTGTATGGTCATATCCACCAGTAGCTAATAGTACTTTCTCAGTTAGAGCACTGTCCAAAATATTAGAATTATACTAGAAATTATAGTTAAAGATAATTATCAGTTACAAAATTAAATTATTGGCCATAGAAAAAAAATATTGACTGCAAAGAATATAGAACACTTAATTTTAAAAATATTTACAAAAAATTTACATGAAAGTTAAATAATAATATTGTACCAGTAATTCTCTCAGTAAATAAAAACTTGTTTTTAATTGCTTCGAGTTATCATCATATTTTTTGAATGATAAAAATGATTATCACCATCTCCGTTCCTCAGTATTATCATAATAATTAAAACTGTATATAAAAATTTCTATTAAAAAAATCTGTCATAATTTATTTTTAATATAGAAATAGATTCATTTAATCATCATTAGCCATTGTCATTGCAGATCATAGGCAAAATTCCGATGTTTCCAATGTTACAAAAAGTTTAGATAAATTGAGATATGGTTTAAAATCTACATTAATAAAAAATCAAGTGATTTTCAATTTAATTATTCAAACAATAGTTTTTCAAATCTATAGATTATAAACCTTTTTTTTTGTCACACATTCTTATTTTTAATTTTGTAGAATAACATACTTTGTGTACTTCAAGTTTGTCATGAAATTGATTCATCAGAGTTTAATTTAGTGTCAAAATGTTCTAAAATACTAATTATGATAATTCCAAAATAAGAATCATGTGAAAAAACATGCATGGAAAATTTTATGTCTTGGTTATTATAATCTATTTTACAAGTGAATAATACAGAAATTTCTACTGAAAAATTTAATGATATTTTAAATTTATACACATGTACATTACAAAAGTATGGGCATCAAGGTTCTAGTAAAAACATTGATGTAAGATTTAATAGATAAATTACTTTATTTTAACTTATTGAATAGTTGATTGTTCTATACAAAAAATATGATGTTTATTTTAGGTAATACCCCATATTATGACAATATTTTCTTCATTTTTAAATAAAATTAATATGAAAATAGAAGAACAACTAGAAATGCTCCGCATTTCTAACAAAGGATAGTGGGGACGGAAGCAAATGATAACGGAAAAAAGTGCAACCCCATCGTACACAGTAAACCCAACAAATTCAAACCCACGTGAAACCCAGCAAAGAGGGATCGGGAGCAAGTGCAACCCAATCGAGCAAAGCAAAACCAACAAATTTAAACCCACGTGTAACCCCATCGAGCAAAGTAAGCCTAACAAATTCAAACCCACGTGAAACCCAGCAAAGTGGGATGGGAAAAAAGTGCAACCCCACCCCACAACAAATCCAAACCCGTCCACTATTCTAGCAGAGGCTGCAAAAGCGAAGTTAGATGATTTCGGAAAAAAGTCCAAACGTTTCGAACGTACGTCTCGCTACGGAAATCAAGGGTTTGCTACGCGATCTAGAGAAGGGGCGGCAAAGGCCAGTTACCAAGTAGGTAACAGATTACGGAAAGGGGTATCCGGCTGCGCCGGATACGTTGCGTTGAACAGTAACAGGAGAAATCGGTAGCACGCCCGACGCGTCGATCGGGTTCGTGGAGAGATATATACAGAAGTAGAATACTCACTAAAACCGATTAATATTTCATATTAAAGTAGAGTATTCGAAATTAAAGTACGTCGAATGTATCTAATGGAGTAGTCAAAAACGAATATTCCAAGTATTCGCTAAATAAATAAATATTTAAACTTGTAAAATAATACAATAGTGAATTGTTTGTCATTCGAACAAAACGATTATGAATCGGAAATTCAATGTATAATAATTGACTAAGTAAGAGTCACCGTGTACGATAATTGCCATACATAAAATGTAAAATCTGATACAACATCAGATAATGAAGTCTTAATGTATTTAAAAATATTGCACACATAATTATTATTTTTTCAAATAAAAAAGTAATATAAATAGGAAAAATCATGTTTCATTATTGGGCAACAACACACATAAAAAAATTTTTTATTCATATTGAAATACAGTACTCGAAATATAATTTGAATGCATTATTATAANCTACTCGAAATAAAACTTGAATGCATTATTATAATTAATAATTTATTATTTTTTGACCTATGGTAAATAATATTGTCAACATAGAATAATAAATATTAATTAAAATAAATTAGTTTCTTTTAAAAATAAAAAAAAATTAACGTTTCTTTATTAATTAATGTTTATTTATTGTCACGATCACACACATAAAAAAATTTCGTTCTTATTGAAGTAATATACTCGAAGTACAAATCGATATAATTATCATTAGAAAAATACGGTTTAATGAGAGACTCAAACCTAAATCAATACAATAATATTGGTAAAAGAATTATGTTGTAAATAAATAAACGTTTTCGATGAACTCCTAAGCAGACTGCACGNGAATAAACGTTTTCGATGAACTCCTAAGCAGACTGCACATAGTAATCTTGATGATCCTCCATTGTCGAATGGCAATATCTTATGGAATCGAGGTTTGACAGGCTAAAAAGTAAACAATATAAATCAAAATAAAATCCAAGATAACAAACAAAAAGCTTACAATACCATTTTGGANTCTAACAAAAAGCTTACAGTACAATTTTGGAGGAACGGCAAACAGTAAAGGATGGCAAGCATAGGCTAAAAAAAAAACCAACAGCACAGAACTATCAACACATCAACAGAAGTGAAATTTACCAAAGGCCGTGCACTATCTAAAATTTACAAATCACATTAATTAATATAGTCACTACTATAATAGAGGAGAAAAAAAAAAGATTTATATATTTCATTTGTCGTACTATTATCCAATACACATTTTATTAAATAATAATGTCAAAAAAGATATTCATATAAATTAAATGTAATTTATATTTAACAGCAATTGTGCTGTTTATGTAATAAGATGAACTCCATTGCACACAATTCGATAAATAATCGCATAACCGAATATAAATAAATATACACGTACAAAAAAATCAAAAACATTTGGATCTTCTCGGCCAATGCNAACAAAAAAAACAAAAACATTTGGATCTTATCGGCCAATGCAGTACACATTACATTGTAATCAACAATAAATAAAATACCTGACGGACGGACCCAATAATTAATTAAATTTATATCAAATAAAATAAGTTAAAATCAGTTACCTGTGTAATACAACCAACATGAATTAGAGCCAGCATTCTTTGGGTCAGTTGACCGCTAATCAATCACAGTCGACCGGGCAAAACAGATGCCCAGACTGAAAATTATAAAGTCAAATCAATTAATACTGCCATTACTATAATAAAAATAAAATATCTACAATATAAAGTATATAAGTGTAAAAATATATATACATATAGAAATTGTATAGGCTGATGTAGTGCAAATTGCACCAATAAATGAAATACAAATCAAACCGATGATTAAAATATGCAAAGTATATCGATTAAAACGTATAAAGATGAACTCTATTTTAAGATAGAGTTCATCTTTAATCATAAAGGAAATCACAATTATAAATGTAGTATTTGCAAACAAAAAATTAATTAAAAAAAAAGTACATATTTGTATGTTGCATATTACTACATATTGCACACCAATAAAGAAATACAAATCAACCTAACGATTAACATATGCTAAATAAATTGATTAAAATGTAAAAAGATGAACTCTATTTTAAAAAAAGTCAATAGAAATAAATTTCTTTTAACAAATGAAAATGAATTACCGGTGCAATAAATCCAATAACGATGACTGCCATGAATCTCTAGCTCAGTCTTTATCCTGGAACCACAATGGTAGCACAGTCTAAAAATTACAAAAACAAATTAAATTAATATAGCCATTACCATAATATATTATATAATCTACAATATTTTTATTGTAATTGCTGTGAAAAAATAATAGTAATAAAAAATGTATATACATTTTATAGACTGATGTAGTACATATTGCACACCAATAAATGATATATAAAGCAAACTAATGATTAAAATGCAAAAGGAGGAACTGTATTTTAAGAAAAGTCAATAGGAATAATTTTTGTTTAACAAATGAAAACGAATTACCTTTGCAATAAATCCAATAGCGATGACTGTAATCAATCTCTAGGTCAGTGTTCTTATCCTGGCACCACAACGGTAGCACAGTCTAAAAATTACAAAAACAAATTAAA